AGTCGTAGGTGTTTGCAGTCTTTCTACACTGAGAATAGTAACAGAGACAGCAGGGCAACAAGAAGTGGGGCCCGGGACCCTCATGGTTGGTCACATCCTGTCCCCTTACAGGAGCAAACAGGTGAATTGCAAAGTCGGGTAATTTGACAGGAGCCCTGACCGCTGTTCACGCCCCATTTCCAACCTTGGCCAGTGGTGCTGACCCATCCCTCTCAGAAAGCAAAGGACTCAGGTCCTTCCTTCCCTGGTGACCCCGAAGACAGGGCCAGGGTGCTGGCACCCACCAGTCCATGTAGGTACAGATCCTGCATCACCCAAGAAAAGGCTTTCACTCTGAGGCTCCCGTCCGGAGGATGGGAATGATTAGTGGGCCTCCCTTTCCACCAGGACATGGCCTGGGGGCAGACTCTGGGGACAGAAGGTGGCTGAAATGGCAGGTTCCCTTGGACCTGAATGACAAAGGGGGGTGTGATGTCTGCGTCCGCCCTCACCCAGGTGCCGAGCAGGGGTCTAGGACAGGACCAAGGGACGGGGGCCATACAGAGGTGGGGACGGAGGGCTGGGCTCCAAGCAGGAAGGCTGGGGACCCGTGTGGGAAGGACATCCAGCTGGGGGAAGCTGCCTGTTCTCACTCACACTGAATACTTGGGGTCACCCACCACGAGCAGCACTCTGCAAGCTGACTGAGTTGGCTTCCCCAGAAGCAGAGCCTGATCGAGGATTCCAGGGCAAGTTGGTCATTTGGAAAGGGGAAGAAAATGAGCAGGCATCCGCTGCTTCATCCCCCAGAGTTGCACAAACGTGTAGAACACCCTCAGACTGATCCCACCGGAGGGACAAGGGCACCCCGGGGCATCTGCACATCAACTCCGCCGGCAAGTGGGGGACAGGGCTGCCGCAGGAGCGGCCACCCCCAGCTCTTGTGGGTCACCCTGGGCTCAGAAGAACGTCTTTGGGGAAAGAGGAGAGCAGAGCCGGGATTCACAGCTATGCTGTCTGGCTCCAGAGCCCAGCTGGAATGGGCTGGGCTGTGTTTAGAGATGGTGAATTGCCCGTCAATGAAGGCATTCAAGCAGAGGCCTGATGACAACAGTAGGAATGTTGAACAAGGGATTCCTACCAGGGACAGGGACTAAGAGACAAAGTCCCTTTCAGTATTGAAATCCATGATCTTTTGAATGGGTAGGGCTGGGGGGAGGCTAAAACAGCCCCCCACCCCTTGAGTGGGCTCCAGGAGTTCCACAAACACACCCCCGCCCCCTCGAGTTCACACAGGACTCGCCGGGCAATTAACTGACATGCGGGCTGGTTTTCTAGCAGACTGACCACCAAGCAGGCAGTGAGGGCCTGCCTGGGAGACACCTGGCCCCATCCCTGGGGGACCCAGCACATCGGAGCCCAAACCCTGCTAGCCGTGCAATCAGCCAGCCCAGAGGCCTCTCCCCCAAGCCCTTCCTGATGCCCGTGAGCCCTGTTAGCCTCAGGGAAGCTCAGGGCTGTCCAGACCCCACGTGGACAAGGCTGGCTCCACCTCCCCTCCTGGGCTCAGGGTTCTCATCTGTAAAATGAGGACAATGATGAGACCAACACCGAGGTCCCAACTTCAGGGACTGTGGGGTTCAGGCAAGGGAGTGGCGGCCAAGCCTGGGCTTCTAGAACAGCTCAGTCACTCTTGGTGAAGCTGAGAACAGCACAGTCTGAATTACAAAGAAGCCTGGGTTGTGGAATCATTACAATATGCTGTATGTTTTCTTCATTCAAGTACACAACATACGGCAGATTGTTAATCAAGTACTTAGAACCCCGAGATCTTGGCTCACGCCCTTCCTTCTGGGAACTTTGACCTAAGCATCCTTCCTTATCTACAGAGTCACGTTCTTGCAGCACCTGGGCTTAGGCATGGAGATTGCTGTGTTAACCAAGCAAAGTACAAAGAACTAGTCTTCATTCTCACACGAAGCATGAGACAGGGGCACGTACAGTGACTCAGTCTGAACCCCAAACCTCAGAACAACAATGCTGCCAAGGCCGCCCAGGGAGGGGCTGAGGCTGTTACAGCTTGGAGCCCCGGGTCACCTGGTTGGGAATTAAACCCAGTCAATAAGCACTTATTGAGCACCTGCTGGAAGCGCTGGGAAGGCATACGCTAAGTGCCGTCAGGCACTCTGCTCTCCAAGGCTGTGCCACCTGCATGGGGTAGCTGATGGCGGGAATGCTGTTCTGTACAGTGGACATGGGGAAGAAATCCCGAGAAATTTAGGGCCTTGCTTCTAGGACATGGAGTCTGTGGCCGAGTGGGGACTAGACTTTAGGCCTCTTGATTTCCAAGATCACACCAGCTCCCCACTGCACGCACAATGCCTAGAGACAGGTGGTTTACCGATGTGAATTTTTAATATATTTTTATTAATCATTTCTTTTATTTAAAATGTACAAATTGATATTTGGACATATGCATACATCCATGATATTACCCCACAGTCAAGATAATGAACATTTCCATTATTCCAAAAGTTACCCCCAGGCAGCGACTGATCTGTTTTCTGTAACTTTAGATTAGTTTGCATTTTTAAGAGATTTTATTTATTTGAGAGAGAGAAAGGAGCAGAGGGAGAGGGACAGAGAATCCCAAGCAGACTCCCTGCTGAGTGTGGAGCCTGACTCGGGGCTTGATCTCACTCACGACCTGAACTGAAATCAAGAATTGGAAGCTTAACTGATTGAGCCACCAAGGTGCCCTGATTAGTTTGCATTTTCTGCAATTTTATATAATTGAAATAATACAGTATGTACTTTTTTTGGCGGGGGGGGCGGTCTGGCTTCTTTCACTCACCAGAATTACCTTGAGATTCATGCATATTGTAGCACTTGTCCATCATTCCTATCTTTTTATTGCTGAGTAGTACTCTGTTGTATGGATGTACCACAATTGGTTTATCCACTCACCTAGGGGTGCACTTTTACATTGTTTCCAATTTGGGGCCGTTACAAATAAATCGGGTATAGACATTTGCATACAAGCCTGTGTATGGACAAATGCTCTACTTTGGGTAAATACATAGGAGTGGAATCCTGGCTCACTCGTAGAGGTACCATTCCCTTTTTAAGAGACTGGCAAACTGGTTTTAATTTGCATTTCTCTAATTACTAATAATATTGTGCACCTCTTCCCATGCTTATTTATGATCTATTTCTTCTTTGGTGAAGTATCTAAAACTTTTGCCCATTTTTTTATTGGGTTGTAAGTTTTCTTATTATGGAGTTTTGAGGATTCTTTATACTTTAATCCATCTAGATGCCAGTCTTTCTCAGCTATATGATTTGCAAATATTTTCTGCTGGTCTGCTTGTCTTTTCATTATCACAGCAGTCCCATGTATCAATATTTACCTTTACGAATTGTATTTTCGGTGCTGTCTTCGTATAAGCCAAAGTCTCAAGTATTTCTCTCTCATGTTCTGTTCTACAAGTTTTAGAATTTAAGGTTTTATTTTGGGCCTATGATCCATTTGGAGTTAATCTTTATATGTGATGTGAGGTATGGATAGAAGATACTACTTTTTTACATGTGGATATAATCACCCAGCACATTTGTGAGAAATACTATCCTGAGTGCCTGGGTGGCTCAGTCGGTTAAGTATCTGACTCTTGGTTTCAGCTCAGGTCATGATCTCTGGGTCCTGAGATTGAGCCCCAGGTGGGGCTCCGTGCTCAGCGTGGAGTCTGCTTGCCCCCCTCCCTCTGCTCCTCCCTCTGCTCCCCCCTCTGCTCCTCCCCTTGCTCTCTGTCTTGAATAAATAAATAAATAAAATCTTAAACAAACAAACAAAAATACTATCCTGTCATGGGGCTCCTGGGTGGCACAATGAGTTGAGCGCCCAACTCTTGGTTTTGGCTCAGGTCGTGATCTCAGGGTTGTGAGATCCAGCCCCGAGTCAGGCTCCATGCTCAGCATGGAGTCTGCTTTGGTTTCTCTCCTTCTCCCTCTTTCTCTGCTCCTCCCGCTCATGTTCTCTCTCTCTCTCTCTCTCTCTCCCCCTCAAATAAATAAAAATAAATCTTAAAAAGAAAAGAACTATTATCCTGGTACCATTCAATTGTTTTTGTCAATATCTGTTGTTATGTGTGTTTATTTCCAGATTCTTTCTTGTGTTCCATTGATCTATTTTCTACGCTGTACTGTTCTGATCATGGTTTTATAGTAAGTCTTGACATTAGGTCATACAGTCATCCAACTGCATCTTTTTCAAAGTTCTTTTGGTTATTATAGGTTCTTTGCATTTCTACCTAAATTGTAGAATCAGCTTGTCAATTTCTATCCCCCCTAAAAAAGCCTGCTGAGACTTTGGTTGGAATTGTGTTGAATTTATAGATCAGTTTGGGGAGGATTAAGCCAACCTTGCATTTCTAGAATAAACTCCAGTTGGTCATGATATTTTATGATTCTTATAACATATTACTGGAGTCTGTTTGCTAAAATTTGGTTAATATTTTTGTATCTATGTTCACGAAGGATAGTGGTCTGTGGTTTTATTGTAATGTCCTTAGTCTGGTTTTGGTGTAAGAGTAATGCAGGCTGCATAGAATTACCTCTCTTGCCCAGCTGCCCCTGCCACAGGGCGAGTGGAAGCCGCCTCCCCAGAAAGGCAGTGGAGTCCAGAGCCTTGGCCTCTAGCTCTTCCAATTCTCTAACCAATGCATTAATCAGGAGTCAAGCCTCCACATCAATCGCTGAACTTGAAAAGTTTTACTTTAAAGAAGTGCATCCATACATCATGTGGGTTTGGTGCTAATGTAGAATCAGAGAATGGAGTTCTGATTGGCCAACCACCCCTTGACTAAATCAGGGACTCAAGTTTCCAAAGTCTTCCAGTTGCCAAGGTGGGGGCACCAAAGCCTCAGAGTTCTCACCCTCCCTGAAGACCTGGGTGGGGTGGAGTTCTCAGAGAAGGAAGCCTTGAATGCACCACCTGGGGACATGTGTTTCCTTGGCGAACAGACAGTATGCGAGGCCTGACATCTGTGATTTCCTCTCGCTTCTCAGGAAACTCCCCTCTGTTCCTCTTGGCAAAAATTCGGTTTACTCCACAAAGGTTTGGCCCTTGGTCTCAGAAATAGCCACGCAGATGTAAATAGCAGTGAGGAAGCAGATTCTGGTGAAGAATGAAACTGTAGGCACCAATGACCTCCTAAGCCAAGGGACAGGAAAATGGGAGAATGGAGGAGGAAAGTAGTGACAGGGACAGTTCTGGGCGAGGCCTTTGTGAGTCACAGAGGAATTTCTTGGTGGCCAGTTTTACTTTATTTCTGAAGGAGAGAAACAGCTAGAAAATTGAGTCCCACCCTTGTGTCAAAAAGGACTTGTTAGCCCTCTAACGACAGGGACGTGATGTTCTCTGGGACGCTGTACACGTCTTCAGGACAGGGGAAGGAGACTGGGGTGGGACATCTGTTCCCTTGGCTCCAGCTTGATTTCTATTGCCTTTGAACGTGGCAGACGAGAGGTCCCACCTGATTAGTCCTTCATTATCTGAGCGAGGGAGCTCCTTTCAGTAAGTAGGAAACTGCCTTATTTACAGAGTTTGAAGCCATGCCACATGTGTTTTATGGACCTTGTAAGTGTCTGAGAGCTGCCCCCTTGTCGAATTAGTAGAGGGGGAAGCCCTGCATCTTTCCTGGAGCCCCTTCTGCCTCGGGGGTGGCACGGTGGACTGGGAGTGGGAGTAAGGGGCTGCCCACACGTGCTTCCTGCTGGACAACCCCATTCACCTGGATGGAAGGGACAAGAAGCCCACCGTGATGTTGGAGAGCCAGGGCAGTCCCATCTACCATGAAGGTGACTGTCGGGAAGACTGCAGGAAGATCTCAGTCCTCACCACAGAGGGGATGACCTTGAGGCAGAGAGCACAGGACGAGTGGAGCAGAGAGGGGCTCAAGGGCCCTCGAGGACTAGTGGTACCTGGCTGGTACCTCTGGCCCCAAACCTAGACCTCCTGGGGACCAGTCTGTTCCAGATGGCCAAGGGAAGAAGCTGACATCTCTCACACTGCTTCCTATCCCTTCGGGCTCCCCCTGGGTGCACCCGCAGCTGTGCGGCATGGGGACGACCTCCCTGCGTGGGCCCCAACGTCACACCAAGTCCACTCTCCCCTGGTGTTCGTGCCAGTTTGAAATTCTCAGTGAAGGGGGAGCAGACTCGCGGAGAGCTTGTGCCTGGGAAGTGCTGCCCCCCTGTGGTGGGTATGGGGAATCGCGGGCTCCTGCTGCTTGCACCTTGCCTTGGGTATTTCTCAAACTTTCTTCGTTAAGATTTGTCTAAAATGTCCTCAGCCGTTTTCCCCCCAATCACCATCCCTCATATCTATGGCTTTAATATATAAAAAGAGCAACATTCTGTCCCTCCCCCCTAACCACCTTCCAACCCTTGAAGATGATATGGCCACAATGAAAATACAGAGCCTCACTGGACGGAGATGGACAGGAATTCAAAGCCCCAGAATGAGCTGCCCTTAGGAAGTCAAATGTGAGACCCCTCCAATCCAGTGAGGAGGGGGCCTCTTCTTCAAGGCTCTGTACCCCAAAACAGTGAGGGCAATTATCTGTGCTGCCCACCCTGTCTTGTTTCCCTCTCCCACTTCCAGAAGACTGGCAGCCGAACAGTCCTTCAGAACCTGGCTCACCTGTCAAATCCGTGCACCATCTGATCCTGAGTCTGTGGGCACGTCTGAATACCCACATTCTTCAGGCAGGAGCCCGAGGCCCAGAGAAAGCCCAGGCAGGAAGGGGCAGAACTCAGGTTCTTGACACAAACACCAGCACTCTTCCCACTGGGCCCTCCTGCCTCCACATTCGAGGCTCACCAGGAAGGCTTCGGGCTGAAAACCCCACTTAACTATCCTTAAACTCGACTGTGTCGCTCTGTGTGTTGTTCACAGCTGTATCCCTGGGTACTCCATCAATGTGTATTGAACAGATCGATACCTTTGTTTTGGTGTTTGGACGGCTCTTTCAAAACCAAGATTCTGCAGGGAATGTTCTTGTGTTAGGAGTCAGATGCCTTTCCCCAGGCAGTGAGAATGGGGTTTGATTCTCAGGAGGACCACAGGGAAGAGGGAGCCCAGAGTCTGGAAGCTCCTGACAGGTAGGCTGAGGGGAAGGTCTGAAACTGCGAGCATGCGGACATGGAGGGTGAGGCCACAAAGGACTGTAGCCGGGGGTCAGGGGACCAAAGACAACTGAGCCTCGGGTGGCCGGTGAGCCTGGAGGCTAAAGCAGATGAGTCAAAGGTTTGGCGGTGAACTGAGGTGTTCCCAGGGGGTTCTGGTTGGCATGAGCTCCTTCTTTGCAGAGGCTCATTTCCTGGTTGAGCATCTCTGGGAACCCCGGCCTGGCTGTGGCCCAGGTTGGCACTTGGTAAACGTGTGTTGAATGAATGAGTGTGAACTGGAATGGCCGTCAAGAGAAAGGTAAACTGAGCTAAGCCTTCAAGTAAGGGTGGGGTTTGTATGGGAACAAAGGCAAAAGTGGAGAGAATGTCACAAGCATCACAAATTGAGGACATCCGTTCATTCAACAAGTATTTCCTGAGCACCTGCCATGTGCCAGGCCCTGGAAGACCAGTGGGGTGTGCAGGTGCTCCCTGCGCCCAAGGGAATGTCCCGTGATGTAGGTGAACACACAGGTGATGCCAGGGTGAGGTGGCGCAGGGACCGTACTCTGTGGGGAGGTGAGGGGGCTGGCCTGGGACCGTTGAGAGCTTGAGGCCAAGAGCCCCACGTGCAGATGAGTGCACCTGCCGGTCCCACCTCCCCGGCACCGAAAGGAGCCACACCGAATTTCTGAGCACCTGCTTGGGCCTCAGGGCTTCTGTGGCAAGAGAGAGAGGAAGATGAGAACCAGGATGGACGCCCAGCATTCTCGTTTACAGAGAGAGGGCTTCCACACGCCTTACCTAATTGAGAACAACGGAACAGGAGCGCCCACCGTGTGTTTACTCTCTGCCCTCCCCAAGTATCAGCCCGCTCACTTCACGACACGCCTCTGAGTGAAGGTATTACCCTTTCCACGCCACAGATGCGGGATCAGAGCACCGGTCACAAGGATGCTGGGCCTCTCGGGGATCAAGCAGTGCCCCAAGTCAGACGATCAGCAGGGGCTGGAGGTGGGTCCCGGGCTCTATGCTACCGGACAGAATCCTTCTAGAAGCCACCAGACCGAAGCGAGCTGGCAGACCACCATCTCCACTCCCCACAGCCAGGGCTAGGCTGGCTGCGAGGACAGCCTCCCGGAATGGGGGAGGCATGCGGGGTGACCCCGGGACAAAGAGCCAGCGGAGGCTTTCGAGCCACGTTTCCACGGACAACTGTGAGCGAGGGCAGGAGAAGAGGGGCCGCCCCGGACACAGAGCCACAGAGCCGGCAGGATGCGGGCGGTGAGGGAGAAAGGGCTCCTGGGGACGCCACCAAGTTTTCCAAAACAGACCCAGCAATTCTCTCTGTAGGTCACGTGCAGTTTTATCTGCTGCTTTTCACTCGCCCCAAGTCCCCAAATGTTCTAGATTAGATTCATTTTAAAATAAGGAAGCCAGGTCTTTAAAAAGGAAACTTGAATCAAACTAGGCATGTAGCCGGCATGTTCCTCCCCAGCTCCATCAGTCACTGTGCACCCCGCCGGTCGCTCCACCGCCCCCGCGCCCGTTTCCCGAAAATACAGCGTTCCTATGAAAACTTTCATAAGCTGAAATGGTGCGAAGCAGGGGAGCTATTACTATTCATTTCAATGGGAAGAATGTCGAGGGTTCCCAGACCCCCCCAAAATAACCTCTCTTTGGCTTTTCTGATACCTTAGGACACATCTTGCTTATGGATGCACAAAATCAATAGAGCTAAAGCACAGATGTTCACGGACACGGTTCGAAGCTCCAGCAGCGAGACCCTGAGCTGCTAGACTATTTCCCGGGCGAGGAGCTCGGCGGGGCTGCTAGCCGCTGGGGAGTGGGGGGTGCTGCCTCTAGAAGGGCCTGCTGCAAATCAAACCCTTTTTCATAAAAGTGAGAATCCTCTTTGGATTTCTTTCTTTACCTGTTAGCAAAAACAGGTACTACTGCGGGTCTTTGGTTAAAGGGAAGTGGCATAACGGAAACTTTCAAAAAGCGGGGCACCTGTATTTCTTGTCTGGGGGGCTCATTATGTTTTAATCTTACTCGGACACCGCAGCTGGAGGACCTTGAGCAGCACGGGTTTGAACTGAGCGGGTCCACACACACACGAACTTTTTTCGACAAATACGGTCCAGTGGTGTAAATATGTTCTCTTCCTTATGATTTTCTAAATGACATTTTCTTTCCTTTTGCTGACTTTAGCATAAGAATACAGCATATAATACATACCACATACAAAATAGGTATTAATCGACTGTTCTTGTTATTGATAAGGCTTCTGGTCAATGGCAGGCTGTTGAGTTTTGAGAGTGTCAAAAGTTATACTTGAATTTTTTTTGAAGATTTTATTTATTTATTATTTATTTATTTATTTAAGATTTTATTTATTTATTTGACAGAGGGAGACACAGCGAGAGAGGGAACACAAGCAGGGGGAGTGGGAGAGGGAGAAGCAGGCTTCCCGCGGAGCAGGGAGCCTGATGCGGGGCTCGATCCCAGGACCCTGGGATCATGACCTGAGCCGAAGGCAGACACTTAACGACTGAGCCACCCAGGCGCCCCTATATTTGAATTTTTGACTGCATCGGGGGTCGAGGCCCTTCTAACCCCACGTTGTTCGAGGGCCAACTATAATCCCAATGACTCTCCAGCTTCTCATACTAGTTTCGTTTCCCACTTCGTTCCCATCTGGTCCCCAAGATGGTTTTAATATCGCAGATGGGTACAAAGCTTGACATATGGTAGGATTTTGAGAGGAGAGCTTGGCCTCACTTTATAACCTGGGCAGGTGTTTTACCTGCAGGTCTCTGAATCAGACCAAGCGCATTTGCTAGAACATCATGTCTTTCCTCTCGTGCTCTGTCTGAACCTTCTCACGTGCCTGAGCATCATGTTCCACTCTCATCTCAGACCCCAGCACGAGCTCGTTCTGCCATTCATGCTGGCCGCCGCTCTGTCCTCTTGTATTTCTTCCATGGAACGACTTCAGACCTGTCTTCTCCTGAGCCACCCCCGTTCATCCTGGCTGCCACTTTCTAGCACAGTTGGTGCCTGAACATTTACCTATTGAAATACCTATTTTAGGAGCACCTGGGTGGCTCAGTCAGTTAAGCGTCTGCCTTCAGCTCGGTTCATGATCCCGGGGTCCTGGAATCGAGGCCCGCATCGGGCTCCTTGCTCTGCGGGGAGCCTGCTTCTCCCTTTGCCTCCGCCCCTGCTCATGTGCTTTCTCTCTCTCACAGATAAATAAATAAAATCTTTAAAAAAAAAAAAGAAATACCTATTTTACTGGAAACGTTTCCTGTTTTGCCTTCACGTTATGAAGCATCACATTTACCCACTTGTTTGCCTGTATGTGTGTAGGTGAGTGAAGCTCCCCTGCAACTTCACTTCAGGACGGGGCATCACAGATGACTCACATATGAGGGATGTGGGGGCCACCTGGTCTAGAGGTGCTACAGGGCCCCCCCACCCTGCTGCATGCTCCCCACCGAGCCAACCAGCAGGAGGGGCCGCCTCCCTGGCTGCAGGATGCCAGCCTGCAGGGGAAGGGTGGATGGTCAGGAGCCTCCATGGCACCGGCACCTGGAATTCTTGGGCCTCTGAGTGGCTTCCGGCTCCACTCCCTCCACCAGCCCCCCCTTACGTGATCTCGCTAAGCCCTACGGCCCTTAGTGGATCATGGCTGCTTATTTTGACAGCAGCGTGATGTTCGTGCGGTCAGACTCGTCACCACTCCCCTCCCTTGTTCCTGTGATCCACAGACCCCAGATCTCCACTCCCCGACCCCCAAACCCTCATGTAGGAACACATAGGGAGGCACCAAGTTGGTCAGGAGGCAGAGGGAGGGGCAGAAACGTGCGCAGGAGCCTTTACTGCCGTTTCTAGGGGAAGGTAGGCTGAGCGTTTCTAGAAATGCTCTTTCTAGAAATTGGCTAATTGCGGGAGGTGGGGGCTATCCCTCCAGGGTCAGTAATGCCCCAAGAGGTCAAAGCATCAAATAGGGAAACTAGAACACGTCCCCTCACTTGGGAGCTGTGACGGTCATCTGATTGGCTGGACTCCCCTTACCCAAATGGTCATAAAACCTGTATTAAAAAAATAGCTCCCCCGCATTTCCTGCTGCTTCGATTCATAGTGTGGCTGTCAGAGTCTGGCCTCCCATCGTGCAGGCCCCACTCAACCCACACATACCCCCTTTCCACTTCCTGGACAGGCACGTTCCTTCTTGAATATTCCAAGCTTGAGCTCTGCTCTTTCCAGCTAACTTCCCCTACATCCTTCCATTTCCCATAACACTTCCGGTTCTACTCCAAGCCTGCCACCAGCATCAACAACAGTGCCCCACTGAGGGCCGACCCAGTGCCAGGCCCCGTGGGGTCACTTGCAATCCTCCCAACAGCCCCCAAACTGGGATTATTGCTGCCCTTCAACGAGGGCCCGACAGCAGCAAAATGGCAACCCTGGTTTGTATAAAAAGTTAGAGAAAGAAGACCAATTTCGTGGTCAAGGCCCAGCACCTGGGGCTGTTCCTCCAGGGAGGTGAGGGTCCGGGGCAGGATGGTGGGCAGACGGAGGGTTCTGGTTATCTCCTAGAGGGGAGGGCTCCATGGAGAGGGTGGGCCCCGCCCCCCCGCCCCCCCCGCCCGCCCCGCCCAGAGGAGGGGGACACGAGGGAGTCAGCAGGAGGGAAGTGGACGGAAGGACTCCAGGAAGGGTCGGGGGGACGGGCCTGGTCCCTCCCGTCTCTCCCCCATCACCCTCCGGCTCCCACCTCCTTAAATCCCCTGGAAGTTGACTGGGGCTTAAACCGGCTCTGGAGGAAATACGAGAAAGTAATAAATAACTTCCTAAAATACCTTTAACCTCACAGCCAACTCAAGAAACAGCAACCGAAACAAGAGTAAAACACCTGCAGAGGTTCTAGAGAAAGGAACACTGGGGTCGCGGCCACCTGACCTTGTGAATGAGCGTTCCTCTGTTGATTTACTTTCTTAACACAGCATCTACAGCAAGGCGTGAGTGGTTCACAGGTTACATATAAAACTCTGAGATAAGTTGTACTGCAACAATAAATAACTCCCACATCCATACACTGGGTAGCGCAGCCACCGCGACCGCTCTACGAAGGAAGAAACTTGAATTTGAAGGAGAAGGGGCCTGGGCAAGGTCACAGGAGTTGTCTCAGAGTCCATGTCCTTCAAGTGACCCCAGGACCAGTGCCACCACACCTGTCCGCGAACCCCCGGGGTTCCTGTGTGCCTGCTGGGCCCCTGCTCAGAGACCCTTGAGGGGAGGGGTGCTTCCGGGTCACTCCCCGAGATGACAGTCATCACCATGTTGACCATGGCAATGCCCACTGTTACATACTGGGGGTGAGTGGCCTCCACGCCCGCAGACACATAGATCATGTCTGCATAGTGGCTCATCTAGAGTAAGGGCGCAGGGGTCGTGAGGAGAGGCCCAAAGTCCCAGGCCCCTGGCTCCCCGACTTGACAACAGCCCTGAAAGCCTAGGCAACCTCTTGGACAGGAAGGAGGCGGTGGGGGGCGGGGGAGGGGTAAGAAGGGCTGTGACCTTGAGTCTGGAGGCCTGGGGTGGAGCCTGGCTCTGCCCAGCCCCCCGGGGGCCAGCGGAGGCCCCTCTGAGCCCCAGGATCTGCCTCTGTGAAATGGGAGCTGACTCAAAAAGTTGAAAATAGAGCTCCCCTACGACCCAGCAACTGCACTACTGGGTATTTACCCCGAAGACACAAATGTAGGGATCCGAAGGGGCACCTGCACCCCAGTGTTCATAGCAGCAATGTCCACGATAGCCAGATTATGGAAAGAGCCCAGATGTCCATCGACAGACGAATGGATAAAGAAGATGTGGTCTATATATTCAATGGAATATTACTCAGCCACCAAAAAATGAAATCTTGCCATTTGCAAGCACATGGATGGAACTAGAGGGTATTATGCTAACCAAAATAAGTCAGTCAGAGAAAGACAATCATCATATGATTTCAATGATATGTGCAATTTAAGAAACAAGGCAGAGGATCATAGGAGAAGGGAGGGAAAAATGAAACAAGACGAAACCAGAGAGGGAGACAAACCATAAGAGACTTAACCATAGGAAATAGGGCGCCTGGGTGGCTCAGTCGGTTAAGCGACTGCCTTCGGCTCAGGTCGTGATCCTGGAGTCCCGGGATCGAGTCCCGCATCAGGCTCCCTGCTCAACGGGGAGTCTGCTTCTCCCTCTGACCCTCTCCCCTCTCATGCTCTCTCTCTATCTCATTCTCTCTCTCAAATAAATAAATAAATAATCTTTAAAAAAAATCTTAGGAAATAAACCGAGGGTTGCTGGAGGGGAAGGGGTTGGGAGGGATTGGGGTAACGGGGTGATACTCATGAAGGAGGGCACGTGATGGAACGAGCACTGGGTGTTATACAAGACTGATGAATCACATGCCTGTACCTCTGAAACAAATAATATATTATATGTTAACTAAAAAATAAAAGTAAAATTTAAAAAAGAGAAAGAAATGGGAGCTGAATGAGACCTCTCCACGACTCCTCCGTCATTTTGCTCCTCTACCATCTCGGGCCCTCTCGGCAGACTTTGCTGCTCAGTTTGGGCCCCACTGACCCCAGGCTCAGCCTCTCCTAGCCCAGCCCCCAGAACGTGGCACACACCGCACTTCTGAAGGCCACACCTGGTGTTGTGGCTTTGGTGGCTCCTGCCGGGGCTATCCGCCACACCTAACATCACACGGTTTCGAAACGTCCACAAGTCCCTGAAGGCCTGACGCCACCTATTCCTGACACGTTCCTGGAACACCAGCTGGGTTACCCAAACAGCCTGTGTTGTTTCTGGAAGCGACACTCTTCTCCCTTTTTCTCAGATTTCCTTCCTGCCACACCACAGGTAGCGTTACAGCAAAAGAACCATGTTTGCGGTGAGGCCACCATCATCGGCCACCATCGGCCACATTGAGTGAGTCCAAGTTTCTGCAGCAAGAGAAAAGCAAGGCAGGCCAATGGGGAGCGGTAGATCTGGGAAACAGAACCTCTGGGCTTCCTCCCATTGGTGTTGGAACAGTACCCACGGGACAGAATTTCCAGCCACTCAGCACCAGAGCGCAGAACCCTATTGCTCAGGGGGGCGCAGGAAGACTGGCGGGCGTGATGAAATCAAATGGCTTTCAGCGGGACTGGAAGTTCTGAGGGAGAGCCTTGCACAGATGACAGGCCCGCAGCCCCTGCAGGCCTCACCCTTGCGGCTCGCCCACCCCCGCCTGCTGCTGGGTACACCGGCTGCCCCTCACAGCCCAAGTACTGCCTTGATCCCAGAGAGTTGCAGAGGCTAAAACAGAAAGAGGTTGAGCGCAGTCAGGCCGCCCTGGGCCTTCTCGGAGCGGTCCTCCACGTCACTGACCGCTGACTGCAGCTCACCGGCCTTAGGGAGGCAGGGGCGCTCCCCAGGAGCTTGGCCCACCTCTGGCCACAGCCCACTGTTTTCCTGGTGTGGTATGATCCCTTGACCCCGAGTCCCCAACACTGTGATGGTGCCCCCCAGTCACAACCACACCCACGCGGGTCCAGCTCCCAGCTCCCAGCCCTCAACACCAACCAACCATGGGGCTGACTCTGACCTTGACCGTGTTCTCCACCAACCACACGCGCCCCCGAGCTGCCGCGGATGCGCCAGCACCAGAGCCCCTCCATCCCGTCCCACCGAAGCCTGCATCTCGGAGCGCCTCTCCCATCCTGGAAGTGGTCAGTCCTCCGCTTGGGCGCCGCCAAGGGCCACCTGCAGGCATGGGGAGGCGGCGGGGGGCAAACAGGGCCGCCGGAATCTTCCCTACTGTGCCGAGCTGTTTCTTCATCACCCTTCTGAACGACCCCTGGAGGCACTGGGCACCCTCCCGCGGACCTCCCTGTGTCCTGACTCCCTCTCTCAAAGTCACTGGCCCCCCGCGTTCTGTACCCCCTCCCCCCATGAGAGCCAAGGGCAGCAGGGACCGAGTCCTTGCCAGGATGGGGCTGCCCGGGACCCAGCCACAAAGGGGCTCCACATTTAAAAGTGGAGAAAATCATTATAATATTTAAAAGATATGTTATTAATTCACTTTGCAGGAAGAGCAGCGTTTTTCTTCATAAGGGTATGATTTAAAAGTGTGAGCCCTAAAGGAAGGGAAGCTGCGTCTTCTTCCTAATGTTATCACTGGAAATGGCATACGCTCTACCTCAGGAGAAGCTGAGGTCGGGAGCTGCACGGGCCCAGCGCTGTGGCTGTGGGAGCCCCTTCTGGGAGGTCTGGGGTACAGGGCACTGGCAGGGAATCGGCGAACCCCTGGAAGCCAGGACAGGGGACCAGGCTGAGCCAGTTAACCTCGTTGAGCAGGCGTTGTGTCTCCAGGAACAAAGATGAGCGGCCGCCGCTGTGAGGGCAAGGAGGGCGGACAGCCGGCCAGGGGCTCTCGCCGGGGGCAGCCCCCTCCCAGATTCCCGCTGAAGTTCAACCACACTCGGCCGCTCCGGAATCCTTACTGTTAATGGCCTTTCGCTGAGCACCTACTGGTTCTGAGTCTCTTCAAAGTCCTGTGGTGGTGAATCCACCCATAGAGGAATCTGTGTGGAATTTGGGTAATTTCAAAATGTTTATGAACAAAACAAAGCAAATCCCACTTTTTTTAAGACTTTATTTGGCAGCAAGAGAGACACAGAGAGAAAGAGAGAGAGAGAGAAAAAACACGAGTGGGGGAGGGGCAGAGGGAGAACCAGGCTCCCCACTGAGCAGGGAGCCCTACGTGGGACTCCATCCCGGGACCCCGAGATCGTGACCTGAGCCAAAGGCAGATGCTTAACTGACTGAGCCCCCCAGGCGCCTCCCCACACTGTGTTCTTGTCGGCTTTTTGTCCCCCCACCCCACCACAGTGGCCTTGTCTCCTATTGCCTGAGGAAATAGAAGCAACCAGAAGAAAATGTCCAAGGGGCCCCTCCACCGCTGCTCGCTCCTGCACCCCCTGCCCGGCCCGGGTTGTTCCGCTAGCAGCCAAGCACCCTGCATCTTTCCTGCTGGAAAACCCTCTTGCCTCCAGCACCCCCAATCTTCTCTACAGCAGAGCCCCTGAGCTGTGTGCCCAAGTCTCCACCTTCCATTCCCGGGCACCGTCTGTCCCCATCACTCACCAAAGCTGCCCTCCTCACCCACGTCCCCCAAGCTGCTCATCACCCAACCAGAGGTCACCTCTCGGCCTCATCTGTGTCCTCCAGTAATCTGGCAGAGCCGAGCGCTTTGGCCACCCACTTCCCCTTCGACCTCGACGTGCCGCGGTACCTGTAGGCTTGCCCAACACGGCCTGCAGCCTGAAGATCTGTGCTAGGGAGAGTCCCAAGATGATAAGAACATCCGTCATGGTTCCCAGAGTTCCCCTAAGGGTCTTGGGAGCCACCTCTCCCAGGTGCATGGGAAGGCACTGTAGGAGATGCCTGGTTCCAGCAAGACAAAAATCAGAGGGGAAAAGCAGTCCCAGCCTCCTGTGACCCAGAGCCCAGGATGCAATTCAGTTCCATCTGCTAATCCCTGAGCTTCCCTGCAGCGTCAGCCTCCACTGCCAGGCAGCTCGCACAGCCCCCACCTCCCCTCCATGGAGATGGCACTGGGCCATGTGGATGGTGTGGTCTGCACTTATAAGGAAACCCTTGCAGGATCCTCAGAGCTGGGTGTCATGAGGATAACCTCTCCTTCCTAGCTGCAGAGCCGGGGCCACGTGTCACACACGAGGTGTGTGTCCCAGTGGCAGGACTTGAAGACAACTCTTTGCTTGGACTTATTTGCTGATTTTTCTAAAGCACAGATAACCTGTGTCATTTTTTTTCTAAATAGGAAAAAATCACTCCAGTTGAGTAACCTCCCTCCCCCTGCTGACCGAGGCTTCAAATTCAGTATTCCTTTTGCTTGAAGCCCTTCCTCCTCAGTGTGAACTGTACATCTGCCTCGGAAGATACCCTGTAAAACCTTATTGGTTATTTATGCTTCCAGGAAAGATCCTTCCCTGATAGGAGGTTTGGTTACATCAGGGAAGGGGAGAGGGCTCGAGGTTTGCAGGGACCTGGGAGTGGAGACATGAGGATACCCCTCAAAGGGAAAAGAGCCAGCAGAGCCCAGAAGACCCTTGTCTCCCCTGCTTCCAGCCTTGGCCAGTGGTGCAGGGTACGTAGGCCTCAGACCCTTCCTCCCATTGCTGAACCTGAGCATGGCCTTGGGGCCGCAGCCGTTACTCCAGACGCCTGCACAGACTCCCAGCATCACTCGAGAAAAGCTGATTAGCTCAAAAACCTTGGCCACTCTGCTGACTCCCATCAGGATGGCGGGGATGATGGCGGAGGCATTGCTGAGCAGCGGGGCTCCCTTACTGCAAAGACAGCGGGGCCAGTGGGCCGGGGACAGAGGTGCCCGAAGCTCCCTTGACACGAGGTTCTCTAGGCCAGCCGTTACAGAGGTGCTGGGAACATGCCCGACAGAGGCTGCCGGCCGGCAAGAATGAGGAAGCAAGGACCAGTGGGCAGAAGTCCCACGAAGGGAGCTTTGGGGTGAGCTGGGGTGGGGTGGGTATGGGAGCATGGTGACAGTGGGCGCTGACTGGAAACAGCAGGAAAGGAGAAAGAAATCGCTGCCTCGATAGATAGGGAGCTTCCCGTCCTTGGTGGGATTCAAGAGAGACTAGGCTAGAGGAAGGTCATCAGGAATGCCAAAGAGGGGACTCCCACAGCAGATGTGATACAGAGTTGGACTAGATGATCTGTAAGACCCCTTTCAAGGCTGGAAAGCCATGAGTCTGTGAAGGAGAGTGTCTGAAAACAGGGAACTGTGCTGGATGTACCCTGCCTGCCCCCAGGACCCACCGCTCCCTTCCAGACCACTCCATGCCCCACGCTGACTTGCAACAATAGCATCCTTGCCTACCCCACCCCCCCCAACTTTGGCGCAGGTCTTGCCAAAGGGGTCAGGAAGGGAGAGGGAGCTGTGGGGTGGCTGTGGGCTCTGCACCACTCTTTGTGGTCTCCCTGCTCCCTGCCCACCTTTGAGAACCGCAGGACCCTGATGGACACAGGTGTGCTGAGTCAGCAGCAGGTGCCAGGAGCGGCTGTGTGTATGTGTGTGGGTGTGGGTGTCTCCAAACAGAAACCCAGAAACCCCTCCTGAGAGGTAGCCGTAGGAGTACTGCAAAAACCACCTGCTAGGCAACACTGAGGGCTCACCGGGTATGCACACTGGTTTTCTCAACCAGCTGGGGTGGCCACACCCCCGGAGAGAACTGCCACCAGAGCACGAACCCTGAGAGCAGGTGATCAGCCAGCCCTGGGGCCCAAAGAGAACAAACAGCCCACACATGCCTGCCCCACCTCCAGCCCTTCCCGAGGACCAGAAAGCCTTAGCTTAGCTCAGGGCTGTCCAGACCCCACGTGGACAAGGTTGGTTCCACCTCACCTCCTGGCCTTAGGGTCCTCATCTGTAATATGAGGGCAGTGATGAGACCATCACTGAGGTCCCAAGTTTGGGGACTGCGGGGTTCAGGCAAGGGAGTGGCGGCCAAGCCTGGGCTTCTAGAACAGCTCAGTCACTCTTGGTGAAGCCGAGAACAGCACAGTCCGAATTACAAGGAAGCCTGAGTTGTAGAATCCTTACAATATGCTGCATGTTTTCTTCAAGTACACAACATACGGCGGATTGTTATTCAAGTACTTAGAGGAAGAGGTACTATGGTCCTGCTTTATAAAGAGTTAATTTTCAATTGGCAATGTTTTCTTTTACATGTGAAAATTGAATGGCTATGGTTTTTTAAACGTTAGTTTTCTTTAGAGGGCTTTCCACTCCCTCCTACTAATTGCCACCCTTGGCACATCAAGTCCAAGTGTAATTGTGAACTTCAAAGAGTGGGATCTAGGTGTGCCTGGCTGGCTCAGTCGGTAGAGCCTGGGATCTTGATCTTGCATTTGTGGGTTTGAGCCCCACACTGGGTATAGAGATCACTTAAAAATAAAATATTACAAAATCAAAGGGTGGAACCTAGCCAAAGGGAATACCATGCATGGTGCCTGCCCTGAGATCTCGGCTCATGCCCTTCCTTCTGGGAGCCTTGACCTAGGCATCCTTCCTTCTCTGCAGAGTCACGTCCTTGCAGCACCTGGGCTTAGGCATGAAGATTGTTGTGTTAACCAAGCAAAGTACAAAGAACTATTCTTCATTCTTACACGAAGCACGAGACAGGGGCATGTGCAGTGACTCAGTCTGAACCCCAAACCTCAGAACAACAATGTTGCCAAGGCCGCCCAGGGAGGGTCTGTGGCTGTTACAGCTTGGAGCCCCGGGTCACCTGGTTGGGAATTAAACCCAGTCAATAAGCACTTATTGAGCACCTGCTGGAAACGCTGGGAAGGCATACGCTAAGTGCCGTCAAGCACCCTGCTTTCCAAGGCTGTGCCACCTGCATGGGGTAGCTGATGGAGGGAATGCTGTTCGGTACAATGGACATGCGGAAGAAATCCTGAGAAATTCAGGGGCTTGCTTCTAGGACATGGAGTCTGTGGCCGAGTGGAGACTAGACTTTAGGCCTCTTGAGTTCCAAGATCACACCAACTCCCCACCGCATGCACAGTTGCCTAGAGAACAGCATGGTTTAAGTGAGGCCAACACATCTCCTCTTTACCTGCTGCACCTGTCAACCAGCAGGCCGACTATCAGCGACCCCAGCAAGCCACCGAGAGGAAACATGGACAGAGTGCAAGACCATTCTTGTCCATGAATGTTCTGTGTCTCTCCAAGTAGGTTTTATAATGAAACCTCATAATGACTTTAAGACCTGGAAAGCATGGCTCCATCTGCAGCCAAGAGCACTGGGCATCTCATGAGAGATGATGATGTAATGTTCACAGCTGCCCCTTGTCATTGTACTGAAGGGTGTTTCTGCCAGTACCCCTAGGACACAATTGAGTCTCTGCTGTTACTTGAGAATAAAAAAGCCTACTGTAGTGTGGGGTGAGATGAAGAAACAGACTGCACAAAAAGTTGCTAAAAAGTTACTGTTAGGCACATCTGGGTGGCTCAGTCTGTTGAGCGTCCGACTCTTGGTTTTGGCTCAGGCCATGATCTCAGGGTTGTGAGATCAAGCCCCACAATGGGCTCCACGCTCATTGGGGGAGTCGGCTTGAAATTCTCCCTCTCCCTCTCCTTCTACCCCCCCAACTCATGCGCTCTTGCTCTCTCTCAATAAAATCTTTTTTTTTAATAATTTTTTTATTGTTATGTTAACCACCATACATTACATCATTAGTTTTTGATGCAGTGTTCCATGATTCATTGTTTGTGCATAACACCCAGTGCTCCACGCAGAATGTGCCCTCTTTAATACCCATCACCAGGCTAACCCATCCCCCCACCCCCTCCCCTCTAGAACCCTCAGTTTGTTTTTCAGAGTCCATCGTCTCTAATGGTTCATCTTAAAATCTTTTTTTTAAAATAAAGTATTTTTTTAAACATTTTTTTAAGGTTTTATTTATTTGTCAGAGAGACAGAGAGAGCACAAACAGGGGGAGCGGCAGACAGAGGGAGAGGGAGAAGCAGGCTCCCCACTGAGCAGGGGGCCCGACATGGGGCTCCATCCCAGGACCGTGGGATCATGACCTGAACCGAAGACAGAAGCTTAACTGGCTGAGCCACCCAGGCATTCCTAAAATCTTTTTTTTTAAGGTTTTATTTATTTATTTGAGAGAGAGAAGGAGCATGAGAGGGGAGAGGGGCAGAGGGAGAAGCAAAAAGCAGGCTCCCTGCTGAGCCAGAAGCCCAATGTGGGACTTGATCCCAGGACTCCAGGATCATGACCTGAGCCAAAGGCAGTTGCTTAATCGACTGAGCCACCCAGGTGCCTCTCTCTCAATAAAATCTTTTAAAAAAAAGTAATCATGCTTCAAAAAAAAAAGAAAGAAAGAAAGGAAGGAAGAAAGAAAAGGAAGAAAGAAGAAAGAAAGAAAGAAAGAAAGAAAGAAAGAAAGAAAGAAAGAAAGAAAGAAAGAAAGAAGGAAAAAGAAAGAAAGAAAGAAGGAAAAAGAAAGAAATGAAGGAAAAAGAAAGAAAGAAAGAAAAAGAAATATTGTTACTAATTGTGTGACTTTGGGCAAGTGATACTACCTCTGTAAGTCTTAGTTTCCTCATCGGTTATAGAGACAATATATGTCTAATAGAGAATTCATGAGCATACAGTGTGACATGATGATGGTACATTTATGACCAAGAAAAGATCATTGTAGGTATATTAACACACACCATGAGCAACTAGTACAGTGCCTCCTATAAAACAGTTGTGAAAAGATACAGCTATAAACGAATGACATCATAAAAGTATGGCAGAACTCATATACCCAAATGAATAGTAATAGACTGTGGGTCCTGTCCTAGCTCTTTCTGGGACTTTCTGCAGTTGTCCCCTCTGTGTCCTGCATCACTGCTCCTTCCTTTTTTTTATTGCTTACTCCCTCTCAGTACACAAACAAGACTCCTGCCTTATAAAACCTAACATGACTCCCTCACCTCCCTTCACTGAGCTTCATCTTTTGTTCCCTTGTGCAATAAAACTCCTGCAAATAGCTACCCGTCCCCGCTGCCTGTCCTCCATCCCACCCACTGTCCCCTGAACCCACTCCAGTCAAGCCTTTGCCCACTGCACCTGCTCTTGTCAAGGTCATCCATGCCCTCCATGAGGTCAAAGCCATGGTCAGTTCTTGGTCCTCATCTTTTTTTTGTAAGATTTTATTTATTTGACAGACAGAGACAACAACGAGAGCGGGAACACAAGCAGGGGGAGTGGGGGAGGGAGAAGCAGGCTTCCCGCTGAGCAGGGAGCCCGATGCGGGGCTCGATCCCAGGACCTGGGATCATGACCTGAGCCGAAGGCAGATGCCTAACGACTGAGCCGCCCAGGAGCCCCAGTCCTCTTCTTGACTCATCAGCAGAGGCTGTCCCTCCCTCCTGACTTGTATGTCTTACGAGGCCTTGGGGACACTCTGCCCTCGGGATCTTCCCCACCCAACAAGGACCCCTTCTCCTTTTCCTTTGCTTCCTCTCACCCCAGTCCCGATCCCTAGATGCTCCATGGTTCAGGGAGGAACCTGAACCTCCACAGTTCAGTCCTTGACCCCATTCTCTTTGCCATCTGCAAGTGGGCTTCTCAGGGGAAGGGCAGTGGGACGAAAGCTCAAAGCCACCGGCAGGGAACTCAGGTCTACTTCTTCCCCACCCCTCTGTCCCAATATGCCTGGAAAGGATGATACTCTGGGGAGAAACTACTCTAATCATCCCCTGGTCTCTAGAGGTGGGCATCCAGGGGAGTACAATAGGAAGAAAGATGGTGGCAGCCCCCCACCCACCCTGTGCCCACCGTGTTGGGCATGTTGACCTTGGCGATGTTGTAAATACACTGGAAGGCCAAGCCAAAGGCTGCGCTCAGAGTCACTAGCACCAGCGTGGGCTGGAGCCTCTGTGGGAGACAGGGCTTTGGTCAGGGACTCTGGGGGCTTGCTCTTGGCCCCTGGAAATGGGGGTGTGGGGGAGAACAAAACTGGGTAGGGGCAGGGGCTGTAGGGAAGGTGGCATCTCTGATGTGCCCCAGGGTCCTGTACTTCACTAGCTCTGGACTCAAGTCCTTGTCCTGTGTCTGAGCTGGGACGTTAGGGGAAGCTGCTTCCCCCCACTGCTCTCCCGGGACTGGCCACCCCCCAGGCAAGGCAGGAGCTGTGCTGGCCTCTCCTTGCTAGAAGCATTTCTGGAGCCTCCCCCTTCCCCCACAGGTGTCCTCTTCCCACGGGACAGTGACAGTAGTCTCAGCACTTACCCTCTCTTTGGTGGAGTGGACGGAGAAGTCCTTGTCTCTTTTCTCTCCATCCCCGTTCAGGTGAGAAACAGGTGCGCTCTGTGACACCTGGGTCCCGCCTGGCACTGAGAGCTTGTAGGACCAGCCGTTTCTCCCCGGGGGCCTGCGTGGCTTTATTACCCTTCCGGTCTCTGGACGCTGCTAAGGGAGCACATTTTCCTTGGACATGTTGGCTGATAAGACTCACACACAGCATGAGTTTTGTCTTTGCCTCTGCCAAGCCCCAAACCAGACGCTCCCCAGGTGCACCAAGGAGGGGGAAAAACACTCTGTACCATTGTCCCTGGAAATGAGGAGTCCCGGAAACCAAGTTGGGCCTGATTGCCTGGATGTGTTATGCTTCTCCTGTGTTATTTCCCCATCTGTGCTTCCTCATATGGATCTGGACTAATTGTCCATTTGGAGGAAAGAGCAAAGTAAATATTTTTTTAAAAATACAACCTATTTATATCTAATTATGCTTAGTAATATTAAATAAGCCATCAAAATAGTGAACAAAGATTCATTTCAGAATTACTCTATTGGCTAAAAAAAAGGGGGGGGTGCCTGGCTGGTTCAATGGGGCACCTGGCTGGCTCAGTCGGTAGAACGTGCAACTCTTCATCTTGGGATTATGAGTTCAAGCCCCACATTGGGTATAGAGATGACTTAAAAATAAAGTCTTTAAAAAAAAGAAAAGAGGAAGTGTGATTGAATAAATTATGACAAATCACCTGAATGGAAGGCCAGGCTGCCATTTCCAGGGACAATTATGAACACGTTGTGAACGTTATATGAAGTGACCCAAGCAGAGCCCAGCGGTGCGCGCGGGTCATGGTGCACCGAGGACGCACCCCAGGGAAGAGAGGGCCTGAGTCCTTACGTGCCCTTATGGTCTGCTCACGATAGTTTAGGTATTCTCTAAAGGGCTGTGTGTTCTCTGCTGCACACCTCGTTGCTTCTGAAGCCTGGAATCATTACCTGTTAGGAAAGGCACAATCTGGGGCCCCTGCTAGCTCGGCTGCCTAAGGATGGGCCCTGAGCCCCAGACACCTGCTTCCCAAGACCTCCAGAGCCCTAGTAGCCTGTGCTGGCTTATCACCCTGTGAGGGAACAGATTTCCATGTTTCAGGCTCCGCGTGTGGTCCTGTGTTCTGCCTACAGCCCACGTGGCCATGGCCCTGAGGCATGCCCCAGCTTTCTGTATTTCTGAGCATGGGGGAGGAGGCGGGGGTCCTTCCATGGCAGCTACACTGTGCTGGACCACGGCTGCGGAGGAGATCCCCTGGCCACGGAGGGGAAGGGCTCCGGCACTCTCCACCTCCTCCCTTGCTGAAGGGAGCTGCTGTGCTGAGGCTCTGTTGTCATGACCTTGCATCATGCTGGTCTCTCCCTTGGGTGGCACTTACCTGCCTTTTCCCGTTGGCTGCACCACCTGGCCCCCCCCAGGGAACAATGAAATATTCACAGTTGTGCTTCTGCTAACAGTCTGATCAAGGCAGTCTGGGCTGTTTCCGTCATGCTTCTCGAAGTCTCCCAGCCTCTTCCCATTTCTATATTCCGTGTCAGCTTCCTGTGGCTACTCAAACAATTCATCACAAACTTCGTGGCTTAAAATAAGACGGATGTATTACCTTACCTTACCATTGTGGGGGGTCAGAAGTCTGAGCTGGGTCTCCGTGGGGCTTACATCAAGGTGGTCAGCAGGGCTGCATTCCTTTCTGGAGGCTCCAGGGGGGAATCCATTTCCTTGTCTTTTCAGCTTGTAGAAGCCACCCGCATTCCCCGCTCATGGCCCCTTTCACCATCTTCAAAACCAGCCAGATCGGACTGAGTCTCAGGCTGCTGTCTCTCTGCTTCTGCCTCTTCCCAGCAGTCACACTGGGCCTGCTGGGAGGGCGGAGGAGATCTCCCATCTCAGGGTCTGCCGGTTAGCAGCCTTAATCCCATCTGCTGTCTTAATCCCCCTTTGCCATGTAAAGTACCATAGTCACAGTTTCTGGGGATTCAGATGGGGACACAGTTGCGGGGGCATTATTCTGCTGACCACAGTTACCTGGGAGTCTCCCCGGTCTTGCAGCTTTATCAGCTGAATTCTCCCGGCGTGCTTCTGTCCGGCTAGTCACAATGCTCGTGGTTTAATCGCATTGGTTCATCTCCGTGAGCCTTCCCTGACTTTCTCTGAGTCTCTTTCTCACGACCACCACAACAACGTCAAGCTGATGGCAAAACCAAGCTCCTTCCTGCTGCTCCTTCTGCTTGAAACATTCCTCCTCCAGATCGTGGGACAAATGTCACCTCCTGGGGACGTCTTCTCTGGGACCACTCTTTCTAAAGTAACCCCCACCCCTCACCTGGCACTCTCTCAACACTTTACCTTGAGTCCTATCTGCAATAACCTTAAGTGTTTGTTTACTTGTATTTTTGACCATTAGATCCGTTATATCCAATGCCCAATACATAGTAAGTGCTCAACAAGTATTCGTTGAATGGATGTCCTTGATTGACGATGTTCCCGCCGCTCCCTCCTCCACTACCCTTCCAAACACCTCATCCTCCACTCCTGTACAGATCTCACCCATTCTTCAAGGCTCGGCCCACCCTTTATCTTTTCCTCAAACACCGTTCCAGTTCTCATTCATTCATTCAACATTTGCAAAGCGCCAGCAAGGGCCAAGCTCCCTGCCAGGCCTGACCCACTGGAGTGGCTCAGATGATGAAGACAACACTCACAGCAGACTCGGACCGAGATTCAGTGGTCTCCCATTCTGTCCTCTTACTGCCACTGCAGGGCAACGTGGTTTTCATCTTCCTGGCTAGACTGTAAATTCCTTGCAGACAGGAGATGCCACCCACGTGTCACCGCCGTCTCGCAGCGCTGAGCCGAATGTGGGCGTCAGGAGCGGGCTGAGGAACGGCAGGAGGGGGCACCAAGAGGAAGGGTTCACGGGTGAGAGAGCCAAGTCTCACGGGTGCTCACGACGCAGCCCGGGCAGATGAGGGCCTCAGGACTGCAGCTACCTGTCTCCTCATTCTTCCTCCAGGGACTGGGGAACCAGCCCTGGAGGGGGCACATTTCGGATGGCAAGACCCTGTTCCACTCGCCTTCCAGAGCGGGACTTCAGACTCTCTCCACAAGCCCTTGGGTAACAAAAACGGCCAATGTCGCCACCCTCCCGGTCCTGAAGCCGGTCTTCCAGTGGGGAGAAGGCAGTGTAGTGAGCCTTCCACAGAGAAACCCCCACTGGGTTGAAAGGACTGAAGTTTATTCTGTGGTCACATCTTTCCTATATAGTAAAATAATGCCCCTTCTTTCAAATGGTCTTTCTCATTACGATAGTTGTCCAGAGTTGTTCCTCCTCCTCCTCATTTCTTCTTCTTCTTCTTCCTTCTTCTTTCTTCTTCTTCTTTCTCCTTTCTTCTCCTCCTTCTCCTCCTCCTTCTTCTTCTTCCTTCTTCTTCTTTCTTCTCCTTCTTCTCCTCCTTCTTCTTTCTTCTCCTCCTTCTCCTTCTTCTTCTTCTTTCTTCTTCTTCTTCTCCTTCTTCTTCTTCTTTCTTCTTCTTCTTCTTCCTTCTTCTTCTTTCTTCTCCTTCTTCTCCTCCTTCTTCTTTCTTCTTCT